TCATTATTAGAGGGATGCTTGGAACAATTTGTCGGTACGTATAATTCTTCAACTTTTATCATAGTTTATTTTGTTAATGTACTTAGTGGTTTATAATATAATTTTTTAAATGGTTAATTATATTGATTACTTTCAATGATTTGGACGAATACAATGTGACGCTTACTTAGACTCCTTATAAAGAGATGCATCACTAAGAAAATGGGGTCTTAAGCGATCATCATGATCCTCCCATTTCCTGGGAAAATCGGGTCTTAAGCGATCCTCGGACCCCTCCCCCCACCTTTTTCTGTCAAAAAAGTTGTGTTTCTAATGAGATGAATACCTCTCCTAAGAGTCTAACGAGATCACTTGTACTGGCTTAAATCATTGAAAACAATCAATACGACTTACAAAATAGTCTAAGTAATTTATGTGAATGTGTATATCTCTCTAAAAATCTATGGTATTCATATTATAAATATCAATTGTTTGGTATAATGGATTTATGTGTATATCTTTTAAATGTTATTCATTTAGTTAATTGAATTTTTTTTGTTATAATGAATTTATGTGTATATCTTGCAAATGGTATTCATTTGGTTAATTTCAATTGTTTGTTATAATGGAATTATGTGTTTATAAATCATAAACTTATGATTTTAATTTATTTGCTAGAGTGTACACCGTATTATCCACCATAAGGGTGCGATCAATGTGCTCTCATATAACGATGCTATCTTGCCATATCTCAAAACGGCAAGGTTGAAGACGATGAGGCACTTTGTTGGCATCAAGATCATTAGTGGAGAGATGGCGCAAGGAGACACACAAATTCAACTTTCCTGAAAGAGAGTACACTATCACATTAAAGGACATTACCATCCTAACGCATTTGCCCATCGATGGCAATGCGGTGATTGTGAACGATTATCCACCACCTTCATATGACGAGAATCTGAACGGTTGGCAATATTTTCTCCAGGGTGCTTTGGGGTTGTTCGTGCCAAACTGCACAGAGAGTGGTGTTGTGAATGATGGGAATCCACCCTTGAGAAAGAACCAAGTATCAATTACTTGGTTAATTACAGAGATCAAGAGGAAGCACAACCGCGGGGAAGATGGAAACCCCCTTACCAAGGAAAGTGATGAGAGGGGCAAGGAAATTTATGCTCTTGTCTACATCATCGGCATGATTGAAAGTGTGTTCTTCTCTAAAAAGTAGAACAACTTAATTTGGTGCGCATGGCTAAAGATCCTCCTTGGTCATTGGGATTTGGGAGGATATGGGGAACTTGAGTTGGGCATCCGCTTGCCTATCTCATGTCTACAACTCTCTTTATTATGCTACCGGGAAAGAGGTACGAGAGATTGGAGGGGCAATGTTCATCTTCCAATTTTGGGCTTGGGAGCATCTTCCTTACCTAAAGCCCTATGTTTGCCCCGTAGACAATTGGGCACCCGACCATCCACTATGACAAGAAGCTTATGGTTGTAGGTAAACTTCTCAACCCCACACATACCAAAGCTTAATTTTCACTTCATAAATTAATAGTTAGTTATTTAATCATTTGATGATTGTCCTTATGAATAAGGTAGATTGGAGCCACAACATGCGACAACCAGCCCTAGCACTCCTTGGTGGAGTATCGTAGGAGGTTGGAAAGACTTTGAGAAGCAGAGGTAACCATCATAATACATCTTCTTCCTTTGTTATTTCCATGCGTGTGTTTCCGCCCTTGCAGTACTTATATTTTGTAGTACTTATTTAAGGTAATCTCTTTTGTAGCTTTTATTCGATCTGTACCCTCGCGACATCGTGGAGTGGCATGTGAGGAAATTCCCGACTCATACCCAACAATGGTGCACGAGGGTCCCCCTCATTTGTCTCCTTTTTATGGAGTGGCACATGCCTGTTCGATGCTTACGATAATACAATCGTGAGCAGTTCTTACCCTTAGATCCCTCGATAGCCAAAGGGCCTTCCAAGAAAGACATGGGCACCAAGGCGCTCGTGATTGGCCCATACATAGGGCATTATACATCAAGTTGTGGAACAATACACAAGATGGAGACATTGTCAATCCTGCTGTGATGGATCCACTGTGGTATCATGACCCATATGTGGACAAATCTCGTGCATAATTTGTTAGGTACATGACTCCATAAGGTGCCACGGATGGTGCATAGGTAAGTCATTTTTCATTTTTCTTAATTCACTTTCCTCAGTTTTATTGACATATAAGTTGTTATGCATTTCATTAATTTTAATTGCCTAAGTTGGTTAATTGGTGCTGTTTAGATTGGTGGCGTCGAGCAGAGACTTTGGGAAGGAGAGAGGTGTAGCTCCAAAGGAAGATCAATACTAGTATCCTCGGCTTTGTTAGAGCGCGTGGGCGAGATTCACATAGATACCCAATGATACCCGCATTGCCTACACCGAGGGTAGCTACTGATGCCTTTAACCCTCTACCACCGTACCAAAGGAAGCCTAACATCCGCACAAGGGAAATGCCTCTGGTTCCCAAGGGGCGATTGAGGCGTGGCGCGTGCCTTACCCTTTGGAGTTGCAACACGATCCTCGCCCGAGTACTCGCCATGACGCCACATCCTCGAGATGGAGTCGGGTGAAGAGATGGAGGAGAAGGAGCACGAGGATCCCTCAAGTTCGTAGTTGGTGTTTATTTTCTTTTGATGTTTATGTTGGACTTTATTGTGTGGTGTGTTTATTTTCATTTGATGTTTAAGTTGACCTTTATTGAGAAAACCAACAAAGTGGTGTGTTTATTTTCATTTGATGTTTAAGTTAGACTTTTTGAGGAAACCAACATAGTCGAATAACATAACTTGAGCAAACCAAGATATTTGAATTAAATTTCTTGAGCAAACACACAAATTCAAACAACATAACTTGAGCAAACACAAATTCGAACAACATAACTTGAGAATCCCAACAAAGAGCAAACCAACTAAAAATATTTGCTCAAGCAATCAATATGGAATTATCTGGATATGCAAAGTCAGGCTATGGATTTTGTGGCCCAATTGGCCCAGAACAAATTTGTTTATTTTGGCCTGGAACTTTGCATATGGAACAACACCTTAGCCCTCGTGGTGGTCTTCCATATTGATACATCTCGTTGGGAATTCTTTTTACCCTCGGTCGCCCCTAGTTCACACCTCTGTCCAAATGGTGGGATGATCACCCTTCCTTCATACAGTGGCCAGTAAGCTTCATCTGGCAATAAACAAAAACTCTTTCCATAGGAGCTCTTGAGGAGCGATATTGAAGAAAGGACTCACAAAGTGAAGGGGGTCTTTGCTCCTGGACTTGATTACGGTCATGGCACGAGACCAAGGTAATCCTTTCCCTAGTACTTCTGGCAGGAGCACTCCCCTTGTTTTGTCCTTATGTTCACCTTCACTTCATGGTGATGCCCCCCACATCTTCCATTCCTCAATGCCTGATATCGACTATATACTCGCCAGCATCTCGATTCATGATGGTGACCCTATGTCGACTGTTCTTGTGTTTGTATTTTTCCATTATTTCTATCTCCTTATCGGAGTGGACCTTACCATGTGCCTCCTTATTCCTTGTCCAGTGGAGTCAATTGACGAACCATTCGTTCGTTCTCTAGAATGTCATCTCAACCATGGCAGGGATTGGCAGTGCACGAACAACCTTGTATACATAGTTGATACTTCACTTGAGTTCGTTGTGGGAATACCCCCACCTGGTACCTCCGTCCTTATGAAAAGTCCACGTTGATATGTCATGTCTATCAAGCCACTACGCACCTTCAGGGCATGCTCATGGATCTTCTGCAACTTCTCCTTGAATTTCTTCTCTTGGTAGGCAATAGCTGAGGGAGATACATAAGTGTATGTTAACATCTGTGTAAAATGATCAGAGTCTAACATAACTACACAAGGAAATAGAAAGCTTACCAGTCCACCACATATTATCAGAAAGCTTCCTACGCTTGAAATGATGGGTGAATCCAAAGGGAAACTTCAGGTTACTTATCAGGAAGTCCGCTATTGCTAACACTGTATGGTTGTATGGTTCATGGGTTTCGGATTGAGATGGCTTCTTTTCATCGATATCACTGTTCCTTCTTAGAATATGGGTGCACTGAAGTGTAATTTTCCTTGAACTAAAGCTCTTAGAGCATCCACATTGGTATTGCATTCTCAACTGCAAAATGAGATGGCATAGGTGTTTGCAATTGCAAAAACAATTGCATTGATGTGGCAAACAATTGCATATTTGCAAGCTTGCAACAAATGCAATTTCATATGCAAGTCAAAAAAGTCTACAAAAATGGGGATATTTTATTTTATTTTATTTTCTCTTTTACTTAATTTTCTATAATTTAAACATAATATTTAATTAAATTTGCAATTGCAAGTTAATTGCATTGATGTAAGTGAATCAAATGAATGTGATGTGGATTGCAAAAAATTTGAGTTGACAATAAAAAACACAAATGCAAATTCTTTTGCAATTGCATTGATGGAGATGCTCTAACTGAGACTACCTAATTCATCAGATTAACGGGGCCTCCTTCTGTTTTCTAGTGTTTGATTACCTTTCACGCTGAATCGTCTGTGCTTTACTATTACCAGTAATGCCTATGTTTGGCCCGGTTTTTAGAAGTGTTTTTCGGTTTCAAAAGCTGAAGCAAGGCCAAACACCTCTAAAAGCTCGGCTTTTGAAAAGCCGAAAAGCGCTTTTGTATAACATAAAAGCAGAAGCTCCGATTTGGAGCTTCTGCGAAAAACTGTTTTGAAAATACAAGATTATCCTTACCATATTTTAATTTTATTTCAGAAAATATAATTTTCCTTCATTTATATCATTTTAAAAATAAAATAAATTATAAAATCATATTATTTAATATAAAAGAAATCTAACAAGATCCATTTTGACTACTTTTTATTGTTTAGAATTTTTATTTAATATTATAAGTCCTTTATAGTCATTTTATACAACCGCTCATTAAAAAGCACTTCTAATAGTTTTACAGCCAAACACCAAACTGTTTTTTTTTTTTTTTTTGAAAAGTACTTATCTAAAAGCTAGAGCAGGCCAAACTAAACTAATATTTGGAAGCATAACTTCCAATGGCGTTTAAAACTAGACTCTTTCCCTTTTCCTCTGCGTCTATCTCTTTGACAAAGAGAGATTAATGCAATTGAACTGGAAGTTACCTTAGGGTTCTTGGCCTGGTTGAACTTGCAAGCAAGCTGTTTGATGAATTGCCTGTATCAGTGTTAGGAACGCTTCTATTATGGTCCCCTCGCTCCCCATTCTTTCCTGCTAATGTGTTCTTTCCTCCTACTCCCAGTTTATAATAGCCGGAGAAGTGCCACTGAATTGAACTGGGATTTCTACCTCAAGGTAATTGCAGTGTGTTGGTAAACACATGTTGAAATACGAGCTTCGCAAAGTCCTCCGCGGGGAAGTTCTGTCAAGTTCAAGCATAAAGCTTGGACCTTTCTCAAATGCAGCCATTGTGATCCTCCATACAGGACATGTACTTCTTTTTCCTTCACCTGATCATCCGATGAGTTGTGCCAATTGCCATTGAAATCAGAAGTGAACTAACGGATTTGGGTAGATGGATCAACTTTTAAAAATGTGGAAGTAGCAACTGTTAGATACTTTTCTTGTTCATATTCAGGATAATCTGGAACTTGGATTGATGAATTTCTGATTAGGGGGTGAGCTATGATTTACAAATCCATCAGGTTATTGATTTGTGAAGCTCATCAAGCTCCAATCAACCCCTTCTTTTGGTGAACCAAATAATGGATTTGAACACATCCATCAACTCATGAGCTCTGGGCACAATCAATCACTGGATGGTATGCAAATGGACAAGTTTCTACCTCGACTTATCATTGAAAATTTGTTTCATATCATTACCCACAGGCACACAATTGGGGTGGAGGATTTTGTGGACGATGAAACAGCAGGCCGTACACTTTCCAGAAGGGCAAAGTATCAAAGAACCCGAACAAGAACATATCTTTCAGGCAGAAGACACATGCATTCATCTCCAAGCGGTTCGTGTCAGCATCGCTCACAGGGTAACGAGCGAGCAGGTTGCAGTGGCCGGGATGAACTCCAAGGACATCGAGGCCGTGCAGACGCGTACACTGCTGTTTACACTCCCAGGCAGGGAGAGGGATAAGTTTGAAGGCAAGATTAGAGCTGTGGTTCAGTCTCTCATTGATAATGGGATTGATGTTAAAGTTCATCTTGACTGATCAAAGTAGCTTGGTTCTGATCCACTGTTTTCTTGGTCTTCATGACGAATTTTCAACTAGGCTACTTCTGTCCTGTGGGCCGGTATTGAATTTTCAAACAGAACAGCACAGCAGTATTGAATCTTATTTCTCTACACAGTGAATGGCCCAATCCATCCTGCAGTAGATTGCCTTTATGTGGAATCTACCAAAAGAAAGGGGAAATGGGGCAAAGGTGTTAAAAGCTCTTGAATTACACATGTCAGAGAAAAGCAGAGACCTCTGCTGCATTAAGGGTACACAGTTGCCACCACTGGTGATAAAAGAATCATGGAGCTAGCTGCAATACAAAAGGATGGACCGCTTGCAATCAAAAGTTGTCCACACCAAAGGAGGGCCAGTACGAGGGTAATTGTGGTCATTAGGACTCCCTGTCTGTGGATATGTTGTTGTGGTCAGCTAGCTTGGTGCTGCTATTTCTAGAGGCATTTATGTGCTGCCCAGAAATGGGTTCTTAAAGCTTCATTTCTTGGCCGTGCTACTTTTCAAATTGGGGAAAGAAGACAGGAGGTAATGTATAAGGTATCTGTCTTTCTTCATTTGTGAATACAGATGAATTTGAAGCTCCTAATGTGTCAAGGAAGCACAATCTGGAAACCAAGTCAAAGTTTCAAACAGTTGTCCATTTCTGATCTAGTTACTTGATAGAATAAAGTTTTTACAAGTTAGCCTTGAGCATTTAGTCAGAGACTTCTTGACCCATGCACTGTTATTTAAGCACTCACCTAGTTTTGTATAATAAGGGGGAAATGTTATATTTGGTTTTTTGAAACAATTAACATGGTGCAAAGACAAATTTACAATCACTCTATCGATAATAAATTGTTAAGTATACATATTAATATATGCAGTTCGACTTGATAATGTCAAACCCACAATCAAAAGCGACCGAGAACTTGTTGAGAATGTCATATTCTTTCCAATCTTGGTTATGTGTGCAACACTTTTGCAGGGGTGATTCCTTCTACTATAAGCGATTCATTTCATTTCTTTTATGCCAACCATGCCACTTTTCTTTTTGCCACACTTTCACCACCGAGGCAAGATTGCCTGTACTGAAGGAAGAGTAAAGTGCAAACAAAAGAAAGCCCAAAAGCGGTCTAACCAAACCAATAACTCTCTTTCAAGATTCCTCCACCGTTGTAAAGCGAAAGGCTTTGGGTAGCCCAACAAGGAACCCTGCCATTGCAACAAACCTGCAATCCGACAATCACAAAAGTGATATAAGAAAAGAACCCATTTGCCATTTTGCCCCCTAATTTCAGCCCCACTTTGCCTTTTCTTTTAGGTCCAAAACCACAACAAACAAAAGAGCATCCCAACCCCAACCCAAACCCTTCAATTCCAAGCCCAAAATACTGACCTAATATTCTGAAAGTTTCCCAACCCAAATCCCCCTATGCCCTCCAATCCTCTTTGCTCTGCTCAGCTTCTTAGGCCATTATCAAACAAGTCCTCTCCTTTCCCATTTCCGATGTAGTCTCCAGTCTCCACCACCTCCAGAGCGTGCAACCCACTACCCACTAGAAACAACACACAAACTTCACCAAGTGGAGCCCACGCGCTTCAACCCAAGTCTTCCCATCTCCAACTCCAATCCCTCCTTCCTCCTTTCTGCAACTGCCATTGTCGTCAATCCAAAAAATCATCTCTTTCCCCTTCCCCCTAATTCAGACACAGCAGCCACCCACTGAATACAGAAAAAGTAAAAGCTAGGTCTCCCAACTTCAACCCGAAACAAGGAAAAAGAAAACCCTTCAACGAAATACCATTCAAGGGAAAGAAAACCCCCAAATTAGAACAGTCAAAATCCATCACAAACCCACTCCCTGTAATGGACCAAGAAGAAGAAACAGAGGCTCCAGCTCCAATCCAACAGCAAAATCAGCTGCCCGCATCGTCCACCTACAGCCTCGTGCTCCGAATCATGAGCAAAAGGCGGACATGGGTCTGCCTCTTCGTCATCGTCTACTCCATCCTCCTGTCCTCCTCGTGGAACCTCCTCCAATCGATCCTCTCCTGGTACCAGCAGCAGTCCCAGATCGCGTCGTCGTCGGGCTGGCCGGCCATCTACGCGTCGGTGCTGCTGGGGGCGGTGTTCGGCGTGATGTCGATGGCGGCGGCGCTGGCGGTGGCGGTGCCGGCGACGGTGGTGATATGGATTACGGTGGTGGTGCTGCTGGCGTTCTTCGGGAAGCCGAGGAGGGTTTTGGTGGTGGAAGGGAGGAAGATCACGAGGGAGATTTTGGGGTTCGTGATTAAGATCTTGTTGAAGGAAGGGAACGCGGTGGCCGCTGTCTGCGCTGTTCTTGGATACTTTGCTCTGGTCCGAAGGAATGCTGACGTGGATTGACCGGATTGGTCTCTCTGGGTAGTGAGAACAAGAAAGGAGATCGAGCCACCGAGGGTTTTCGCCCCTATACAATCTTCTTTTTGGTTTATTGAGGGGCTTAAAGGGTAGTTGTAGAAAGTTTAGGGGTTGAAATGGAAAGAAGTATGTAACGTGTAATATTTTTGTACCGTTTTACTGAATTCTACTCGTCTCTTTCTGATCAGACTTGCGCGCTCGTTTTTTCCTCCAAAATTCGGATCCTGGGTGTTTTCGCGTAAATAAGATACGAATTTACATGGGTTTCATCGTCATCGTGACAAATTGATGGGAAAATTTAATGCAATAAACTACCAATCTTATAAACCTGCTTAGGTTGACACCATACATTACATATATTTAGTTATTTACAATTAGATAATGGTCATACAAGTAAATAATGGGAATCGGGTAAAAATGCAACTTTGATACATCTACTAAATTATTTCGACTAAATTACACATTTGGTCACACAAATTATACAAATCTTTCACGTTTGTAACTCGAATTACTTTTCTTTCTTATTCACCATTAACTTTACGAATTGTTTCACCGTTAGTCACCGGCCGTTACACTCGGTTAAAGTTGTAGTACGTGACAATCAACTATAAAATTTTACTGTTAACTAGATGATGTGGAAATAAAAAAAATTAAATTTAAGAAAATGAACGGCCTCCTCTTTCCTCATCGCTCGTGCACTTTTTTGTAACCACCAAATCGGCATTCTTCTCCTCGCCGTTCTCACCTTCTTCCTCACTTGCCTCTTTCACCAGTCGTTCTCTCCCTGCACCGCCACTTCTTTCGGCGATAGCGACTTCGGGTTTGGCTCCTGGAAGAGCCTTGTCAGTATCTCCGACACTGGATACCTGTCGTGGTCGCCGCCTGGAGCTTCTATGACACTTTAGAGAATCTGAAGTACAAAAATCGATCAACGATCTGTATACACAAAGTGGGCTCGATCTGAAAAATGATTTCAAGAAGTGGATTGGGGATTTCAGCCTCAATCTCTTGCTGAAATTGGTTGCGGGGAAGAACTACTTGTTTCTGACTCTGCTTCTCTCGTGGGGTTTAAGAACTACGTGAGGGAGCTTTTATGATATGGTGGGACGTTTTTCGTCGAAGACATTCTTTCGTTTCTGCGATGGATGGATATTGGCGACCATGAGAAGGCGATGAAAAGGGTGTCAACAAAAATGGATGGGTACCTTCAGCAATAGCCGGATTAACGCAAGGAAAATAGAGGAGCGGAAAAAAAAGCTTGATTTCATTGACGTTCTGCTCTCCCTTCGGGACGTACAATCTCTCCACGTATATGACTCTAATACCATCATCAAAGTTATGTCACTGGTAAGTTAATAATTTTTTCTCTCTTCCTTCTTCGAACTGGATTAAATTTTTTCTAAGATATGTTTGATAAAACTTAGAAGGATTCATAGGATCTGTGATTTGGATGAGAGATGTAGGGTTTAGGATAAGATGTATAAGTTGATACCTATCGTGGGCTAACCGTGGCTACGGTTCAGTGCTCTCCATCAAGATCTACGTTTATGATGAGACCGAGATCAATGGCTTGAAAAGAGCTTATGCCTGATCGTGATGGCATAATCTCCGCAAAAGCTTGCATTATAGTCCAATGGGGCACTCAGGTTTGTGTTAATTATGCTCTTGAATTTCTTCCAAGTTGGAATTCATCGGTCCTGTTATATATTTGATAAAAGCTTCGGCGAATATGAGATTGAGTTTATTTTTGTGGATTAGATTGATTTTCTTCCCCGAAAATCAGAGCGTGGTTGTCCCTCCCAGCGGTGCTGCTTCTGGGTTCTTCGCGTTCCCATCCAGAGCTCTTCTACACTGCCTCTTGTTTCGAATCCTCCTTTGATAAATCATATAGAAAAAGTAAGTGGAATGATGAGGTGGAAAAATAAAATTAATTTTTTTAATTTTCACGTCATCTAGTTAACGGTTAAACTTTATAGTTGACTGTCACATAGGACAAATTTAAAGGAGCGTAACAGTCTGATGACTTGATATATACACATGTTTTTGTCCACCATTCTTGTACCGTTTGAGTCTTAATTCTCGTGTTTAAGGCCGATTTCACGCTAGGTTGTTCTTGTTTGTGATATTTCAGGTCATAGTACGTGAATGAAGGTTTGGGAACGAGTTCGGGGTCGATTGGACGAAGATTGGACGTTTGGCGAGAAGCTGAGGAACTCGCACGGGTACGCCTAAAATTCCACACGGCCGTGTGACTTGGCCGTGTGGCACTACCTTGCACGGGCAAGCCACACTGGCCGTGTAGGGGACCCCTTGTGGTAGTGAAAGTGTAGTGAAGGTCCAAACAAGCAAACAAGCAAAGCAGTTAAAGGTTGTTTTCAAGTTGAGAGAGGTCACCCGGATATGGTTCCCCCAGACTGCAGTTAAGCCGGATTGTAATTTACCAAGTTCAATTTCAATGATAGTTATACTGCGGGAGGTTCTTAAACAGTCTGCAATCTCGACTAAAGGTCTCCAGATCCTCTCAATCTGAGTCCCCAGCGGGCGACTAACCTCCACCGGAGTGAACATATTGAGGCCCTAACGAACCAAACCTCCACTACCGAAGTAAATCCGGTACAGAATAGTGAATTGACTCCTCGACTAAAGTCGTCAATTCACTACCTTCAATCAAGGGTGCTCTATCAACCTAGGAAGATATTCTCTTTCTAGGTTAAAGCAGAAACAATAGTAATTTGATCAGGATTCATGCCATTCAACAAATCAGACCTCAATTGAATATAATCATATCACTGAATTCGTACTTGGGTTCATACAATCAGACCTAACATACAAATCTATGGTTCTTCATACCCAGGTGAAAGAAAAAGTTACTCCAAAGAGAGAGACGGGAAATCTAGCTCAGATGCGGAAACCATACTGTGAAGGATGAGATTCTGCTTCTGGCACTCATTCAGCTCTTCTCCAAGCTCAAGCCGGGCTCCAATGGTGATGGAGATCGATCTAAGGCACTTGAAGAATCAGGTTCGTCACTCTCTCTCTCTAGTTATACGCTTTGTCTCTCTAAAACTCGGCTCCCCCTCCTTTGGCTCGAAATTAGGTTAAAACCCCAGAATTTCCTGACCACACGGCTGTGTGGATTCCCAGTTTGTCCGTGTGAGAATGGAAATGCCGCGTTTGAATTAGTGGACTTCAGGCACGCTGCACGGCCAGAAGCACACGGCCGTGTGGATTTCCAGTCTGGCCGTGTGAGCTCCCTGGAATTTCCGCACGACCACAAGGGGTCCCCTACACGGCCAGTGTGGCTTGCCCGTGCAAAGTGGTGCCACACGGCCAAGTCACACGGCCGTGTGGAATTTTAAGCGTGCCCGTGTGAGTTCCTCAGCTTCTCGCCAAACGTCCAATCGACCCCGAACTCGTTCCCAAACCTTCATTCACGTACTATGACCTGAAATATCACAAACAAGAACAACCTAGCGTGAAATCGGTCTAAAACACGAGAATTAAGACTCAAACGGTACAAGAATGGTGGACAAAAACATGTGTATATATCAAGTCATCAAATTCCCCCACACTTAACTGTTTGCTTATCCCCAAGCAAACCTAACTCAAACCAATGCAACTCTCCAGACCTCTATAGCAACAAACAACCCCAATTGTCGGTGGAGGATTTCCTAGATCATATAGCAGCTTACGAGGTCAACCGGTCTTCTAAGACGTCCCCTATCTCTCTCAATGCGAGTACTAGAATCAAGCTAGGATCATGAGAAGAAGTAGAAGTAAGACAGCCAGTTCATGGATAAAGGGACTCACACCATTCACGACCAAGGATTCGTTGTACTGGGGTGCTCTTTCACTTCATTTCACCGTTGGAACCCCCTTTTTCACTTTCATTTACATTTGTTTCTCTTTTTTTTTTCATTTGGCGGGGGTTCCAACTGCAGTCTTTTGCACGGTCAACCCTTATTAGTCGAGCAAGAGCAATTTCTGTACATCTGGCGCTCGCCAGAGTACTTCTTTTAACTCCTTTTCCTCAACTCGTGTGGAGGGTCAATGAAATTAAGGGGGTCGGAAGCTCTATCCGTGCCCTTAAAAACACATCCTCAAGTAGGCAAACCGTTCAACGGGTGGAAGTTTTGCTTGTACTAGAGACAGCTTAGCTTCACCTTGTAGGAGTACCCCACTAAGGATCACTAAAATCTCTTCCAAAACCCGATTTTGTGCAATGAACGGTGCCACACACGTTGGGCTTACCCCATGTTTAAGATTTCAATGATTTCGACATGGAGGACCAACTGCTTTTCATTTCCCACATGAGCACCCTGTTCGATACACGAGTCCATAACACAATCCAAACAGAGTCACCATTACCACATGAATTCAACGGTCTTAGCTCCACTAATTCACAAAATCAACTGGCACAACAGAGAGCTAGATAGGAAAAATCTTATACTTCAACATCCTCCATAGTGCTACACTACCTCCCTAGGTTGCACATTACTATAGAGACTGTCAATTCAAAGCATACTGAGCAGGCAATTTGCAAGGAAACACGTACTTGGAGCCTTTAAATCGAAATTTGGACAGTGAACTAGGCTCCAAACACACAAACAGATCTAATGCAGTCAAAAGAGAAACATCCCCCCCTCCCCCACGCACACACACACACACACACACACACACACACACACTTAAGTTCGGCATTGCCCACAATGAAGAAGAGGGAATGATAAGGGGAACGATGTTACCAGTGTGCACAGACTGCATGAGACTGGAAGGGAACCAGTCTGAGTGAAGAGGACTGGAGAGGGGACCAGTCAGGGACAAAGGCACAGCTAAAGGGAAAACAAAAGCTCAGCCACAATACGTTAGGTCCAGTTGTCAGCCCAATAGTACATCATCCAAAAGAAAAAGAAAACAAACCATGATGGGATTGCCTCCCCACAAACGCTTCTTTACCGTCTTTTAGTTGGACACCCATGGTGGATGCTTAGAGGGGTGTAGGAACAGGTGCCTCCAAGAGCGGATCCACATCGCTCTTGAGGTACAACTTCAGATGGTGGCCATACACCCGACGGGTGCGACCACCAGCAATGGTCAGCTCGACGTGGCCATCCGACAGGATGCAAGCGAGTGAATACTCGAATGGCCAGAGTGGTCGTGGTTCAGGAGGTGGGACCACGGTCGGTGACTAACGGTCAAACAATTTGTAAAGATAGTGGTGAATAAGAAAGATAAGTAATTCGGGTGGCAAACGTGAAAGA